AAAAAAAAAAAAAAAAATACAAAGGCTATAAAGTCTCCATTTTTTTTAAATGGCTGAATAGTATTCCATGGTGTACATATACCACAGCTTGTTAATCCATTCCTAGGTTGGTGGGCATTTAGGCTGTTTCCACATTTTGGCAATTGTAAATTGAGCTGCAATAAACAGTCTAGTGCAAGTGTTCTTATGGTAAAAAGATGTTTTTTCCTTCTGGGTAATGGGATTGCAGGATCAAATGGGAGGTCTAGCTTGAGTTCTTTGAGATTTCTCCATACTTCCTTCCAAAAAGGTTGTATTAGTTTGCAGTCCCACCAGCAGTGTAAAAGTGTTCCCTTCTCTCCACATCCACACCAGCATCTGTAGTTTTGAGATTTTGTGATGTGGGCCATTCTCGCTGGGGTAAGATGGTATCTCAGGGTGGTTTTGATTTGCATTTCTCTAATAAATAGGGATGATGAGCATTTTTTCATATGTTTGTTAACCATTCATCTGTCTTCTTTAGAGAAGGTTCTATTCATGTCTCTTGCCCATTGATATATGGTATCGTTGGCTTTTTTCATGTGGATTAATTTGAGTAGAAAGTAATCTCTTTTTATTCATAGGATTATAAAATAAGAGATGTGACTGATGATGTAAAAAGCATTATAAGATTTGTTCAAGAACATAGTTTATCACAAAGAGCAAGAAATATAAAACATATTGGTTCTGCTGGAAGATTTACTATGAATATGCTGGTCGATATTTTCTTGGGTAAGTCATCTGTTTTATTGTTTGAGTTATAGCAATTGAAATTGAACATTTAAAGATTACAAGTCCATAAGGGGGAAAAAAATCTCTTTTGTCTTTTGTTCTAAAACTTAAGAGTCTCTGAATAAAACCTTTTTTTTTTTTTTTTTTTTTTTTGAGACAGAGCCTCAAGCTGTCCCCCTGGGTAGAATGCTATGGCATCATAGCTCACAGCAACCTCCAACTCCTGGGCTCAAGCGAGTCTCCTGCCTCTGCCTCCCAAGTAACTGGGACCATAGGCGCCCGCCACAACACCCGGCTATTTTTTGGTTGCAGCCGTCATTGTTGTTTGGCGGGCCCGGGCTGGATTCGAACTGGCCACCTTAGGTGTATATGGCTGGCGCCTTAGCCACTTGAGCCACAGGTGCTGAGCCAATCAAACCTTTTGAGCAACAGTGGTTCTCAGCCTTCCTAATGCTGCGACCCTTTAATGCAGTTCCTGTGGGTTGCAACCCATAGGTTGAGAAGTGCTGCTTTTGAGTAACAAAAGTAAATAAGTTTTTATGAATTAAGCCAATTATTTCATAGAATTTACACAAATCACTAAAATAAGGTGGTTTCACATACAAAAAAGAAAATAAAAAGCTTATACAAATTTACCTGAGTGAGTGAAATGAGAGTTTCTTAGACAACTGCAAGGTCAAGAGGGCAGCCTGCACAAAGTGCTGCTCTTCCTTTTTGCTTAAGACTCTATTGAAACGATGGTAAGAGGCCTGGGCATGGTCGTTCACACCTGTGATCCCAACACTCTGGAAGACAAGGTAAAAGGATCACTTGAGGTTAGGAGTTTGAGACTAACCTGAGCAAAAACGAGACCGTCTGTACCAGAAAAAAAAAAAAAAAATGATAGGGTGCGGGTGACGCACCTTTTGGGGGTGAGACACAATTATAAGAGGGACTTTACCAAACAAATGTAATCAGTGTAACCTGGCTTCTTATACCCTCAATGAATCCCCAACAATAAAAAAAATTTTTTTTAATGATAGTAAGGAAATAAAATAGAGATTAAATCTGTTAGAGACTATCATCAGATTAGGTTATAAAAATCTACGAAATGGATGGAAGCATAGCGACAAATAGAACAAAATGCAATCAAACCACAACCCAAAATAAATATAGGGAAGAGGCCTGTCTCAGTGACTCATGCTTGTCATTCTACCACTATGAAAGGCTGAGGTGGGAGGATCTCTTGAGATCAGGAGTTTGAGACCAGCCAGAGAAAGGGCAAGATCCTGTCTCTACTAAAAATACAAAAAACTAGCTGAGTGTTGTGGTGGGCACCTGTAGTCCCAGCTACTCAGGAGGCTTGAGCCCAGGAGTTGGAGGTTGCTGTGAGCTATGATAACACCACCTCACTCTACCCAGGGCAACTGAGGGAGACTGTCTCCCCCCTAAAAGAAAAAAATGTATGGAGGACTTAAAACAGAGGAGGGACTGTCAGTCAGGCAGAACCCCATCACTAGACATCAGTCTTGAAATCTAGAAGTAGAGAGGACAGAAGTGAAACCAAGGGAACCAAAAGGAGGAAGGGGGCAGTGAAAGGAAAGTCTGCCCACAAAGAAGCTGCAGAGAGCTCCAGCCTGGAACTGACTCTGGCATAGAACAAAATTAATGACATAATTGTCTAGAGAGTAGAAGGCTGCTTAGTCAGGAGACAGAGACCCTAAGTGAAATTTGGGAACCACAAAGCCTACCTAAAGTCTGGTCCCACTCCTTAGCGTAAAGCAAACATGGTTATTGGATATCCTCATTTGGGAAAGAATTTGAGGTGAAGTAATCTAGATGTAAAAATAACAGAAGAAACCCACCTTAATGGCTCAGCGCCTGTAACTCAAGAAGCTAGGGTGCCAGCCACATACAGTGGAGCTGAGGGGTTCGAACCCATCCCGGGCCTGCCAAACGGCAACAATTACAACCAAAAAATAGCTGGACATTGTGGCCGAGGCAAGAGAATCACTTGAGCCTAAGAGTTTGAGATTGCTGTGAGCTGTGACTCCACAGCACCCTACCCAGGGTGAGACTCTGTCACAAAAAAAAAGAAAGAAAGAAACCCACCTTAAAGTTTAACCTAATTCCTGAAAGTTTAAATAGAAATGAACAGTTAAGAAGAAAACAAGCCAATCTGAGGTGTGAGTTTCCTCCGTTGATGGCTCGCAGTTACAGATTGAACTCATTCTGGCTTACTCCTTCTCACCACCGCACTTGCCTAGTCTGAGAGCAAGAGAAAAGCCAAACAAGTAAAATATTTGACCCTGGACAATAGAAATAATTCAAAAAATAGGTAGTAGTTTGGGGGAAAGAGGAGGGAAAACTCCTAGTTGGTATCCTTATAAAGATTTGTTTAAGTAAAGATTCAACTAATAATTGAATGAGAAAGAGCTATTTAAAAAATTAACATGATTGGTTCGGTGCCCTGTAGTTTAGTGGTTAGGGCATCAGCCACGTGCACCCAGACTGGTGGGTTTGAACCTGGCCAGGGTCTGCTAAACAACAATGACAAGGATAACAAAAACAACAACAAAAATAAATAAATATATATATAGAGAGAGAGAGAGCCCGTGTTGTGGTAGGGGCCTGTAGTCCCAGTTACTTGGGAGACTGAGGTAAGAGAATTGCTTAAGCCCAAGAGTTTGAGGTTACTGTGAGCCATGACACCACAGCATTCTACCGAGGGTGACATAGACTCTGTCTCAAAAATAATAATAATAATTAACATGATTGATGGAAGTAAATTTAGCAGAAAAGTTAGAAAATAGAGTCAAAATCCTTTAAGATTTTAAGGGCTCGGCGCCTATAGCTCAACCGGCTAAGGCGCCAGCCACGTACACCTAAGGTGGCAGGTTCGAATCCCCAGCCCGGACCTGCCAAACAACAATGATGCCTGCAACCAAAAAATAGCTGGGCGTTGTGGCAGGTGCCTGTGGTCCCAGCTACTTGGGAGGCGGAGGCAGGAGACTCGCTTGAGCCCAGGAGTTGGAGGTTGCTGTGAGCTGTAATGCCATGGCACTCTACCCAGGGGGACAGCTTGAGGCTCTGTCTCAAAAAAAAAAGATTTTAAGCAAAAAAATACATGGAAAATATCAGAACAGAGAGAATCAGGCCTTAGTAGATGTAAAATCTGACAAATAAAAGTTTTAGCAATAGGAAAAAAAGGGAATTATCAAACCAACAATATAAAAAAATTTCTTAGAATGGAAGAGTAAAATCCCACTGAATGCCAAGTAAGATGCCAGTTAAAAAAAATAATTGTAACATCTTGTACCCTCAATGAATCCCCAACAATAATAATAAAAAAATAGTAACAAAAAGGACCTAGCCATATGAGATTTGAGAATACCAAGAGTCAAGTCATGTCAGAAGGGAAAAAGTTTTCCTCCACCCTCTTAGGTTTAGTGATGGGGCCTGCAAATTGAACTAACAAAAGACAAATTGGCAAGAAAAAAAGCAGATTTAGTCATATATATACAAGAGATCACCAAAAAATGTGAATCAAAGGAGTAGTTAGAATTTGGGGCTTTTTAACCATCTTATTAGGGGAAAGAGAGCATTTATGGGAAAACAAATGACTTTTAGGAAGGATAAATGGGCTGTTAGAAGACTGGGTGGAGCATCTGTGTATAAAGTTTTTATGACAATTTCTGCTTAAGTGTGATATGGAGACTTATCTGTACTTAAAAGAGTCAGCCTCCCCTGGGTTCTCCCAGGGAGGGGATTTATTAGTGCTGAGTTTTTTGGAGGCTCTCCCTTTTGGCAGATGAGAGATTAAAGGAACTCAAATGCCTTCTGTTCAAAACAATTTTTATGCCACAGTGGCATATTCTGGACCCCTTTAGGAATAAGTCTTGAAAGCTTTGGAAAGAAGAAACAGGAACCAAAACCACACTGACATAAGATGAATATCAACAGTCCTAGGGACTAGAAGGCGATGAAAGTGAGTGCACAATCAGGACACATCAAACGGCTAGGGTCTCCCATGTACATGTATTCTAATTAAAAATATATAATGGCTGGGTTTAAACCCACCAACCTTGATGCACGTGCCTGGTGCCTGATGCAACTGCCTTGGGAAGTTAAATGTCAGGCTGGTGGGAGGACTACAGGGTTCCATGATCCAGTGAGAAGAAATCCTATAATCTCAGAAATGCAGCACGGCCAGTGAGCAATCCGCACAGATTGTAGAAGAAAGGTAAGAAGAGGCAACACTAGAGGAGATTAAGAAGTAATGTTTTACTGCCAAAAGGGCAAATATCACTTCTGAACTAGAAAGGGAGAGAGGAACTTAGAAATTCCAGGGGAAAGATTATAAGAGAGCCAAGACCAAACATAAAATAGAGGAAGTTATAGCACAATGTTAAATAATTGATCAAATGTACAAAAAAAAAATTTGACTTAGATGCTATAAACATTCTTTGGGTTAATATAAACAGTAGTTCAAATCAACATACAGACTTTAAGCATGGTTACAAAACAGGGCACGTTGTAAACGTTAATCTTTTTTTTTTGAGACGGTCTTACTTATGTTGCCCTTGGTAGAATGCATGCTGTCACAGCTCACAACAACCCCAAACTCTTGGGCTTAAGCAATTATCTTCCCTCAGCCTCCTAAGTAGCTGGGACTATAGGTG